AAAAAAAAAAAAAAGAAAAGAAAAGAAAAGAAAATTGATGTCAAAACAGTCCCCCTTGAGTATTCAACAAGATTATTGATCAGTACATGCAAAGGAGGAAACCACACGATGCCTGATAAAGAACCAGTTAAAGACAAAATACAAAAATAAAGACTAAAAATCAACAAGTTAGAAAACAAAAAGAGAGAAGTCTAAAAGGTGGTTTTTTGTAAAGACTAATACAATTGATAAGCCTATAATAGGAACAATGAAGAAAAAGAAAAGACCCCAAAACCAAATACCAAGGATTAAACAGGAGGGAATTATCCAGCAGTGGCAGAAGAGGCAGCAGCAGGTCCTGAGTCTGTGAGAGCAGCAGCGTCAACCCCAAAAGTCAAGAACTGAAAAACACCTCTAAAAGAAACTAAGCTGCTGTCTTGTGAAAGGTGGGAAGAGGGACCAGGTGCCACATTTTGAATCGTCCTGCTCAGAAAAAAAGCTGGGGAAGGCAAGAGTGACAGTGGTGGGATATCAGTAGTGGAAAAAAGCTAAGCTAACAGCTAGGGGCAAGCTAGAGGAGGCCAGCATGAAAAGCAGGTGCAGGAGAGCACAGAGACTCAAGGACAGAGCCTACCCATGGAGTTGCTGGGGGGTGCCAGCCAACTACCACCACCCCACACTCTCCCCTACCAGGCAAGACCCAGTGTCCAGTTCAATTCCTGGTGGGCCTCTACCCTACACAGAGGGAGCAGAGGAAGACGTATGGGAGCTGGGCACCCACGGGATCGCTGGCTGGCCGAGGGCTGGAGGGAGGAGGGTCTGACCTGTGATCTCTTTAGGGAAAGAACCACCAACTTGCAGCTAGGAGCTTCCCTTCCAAAATACAGATGGGTCTGGGCATGAAGTCTAGGGAGCAAGTGACCCAGCTGTTTATCAAATATTAGAGAGAAGGGCTCTGCTAGCCCAAGACCCTAAATTCACTGAAGACTATGAGGGTCTAGAGCCATGTGGCTTTTCGGGGATAGCTGCACAACCAACTTTGGTTCTACTTTCCAGTGTTGGTAACAATCTTCAGCCCAAGCTCTGCCAAACAGATTAAGTAGGCTGTGCCCCCATCATGGACTTTTCAACCTCTATGCACAACCTGGATCACAGAGTCACATCTCCCATATCACTGACAGAGTCAGTTTCCCAAAGCTAGGGTGTAGTGCCCTTGATGGTAGGGTGTTATGCCTGTGGCAGGGGGCACTGCTGACTGCGGCACCCTAACCACCTACACAATGTTCATCCCCAGAATAGGAAAACCAATCCCGATCTTCTTGACAACCTGCCACAAGACACGTTGTGAAATTCAATTTCTAGCCTTGGAGCTTCACATTCAAAAATGGCTGGTTTGGGTTTTTTTTTTTTTTTTTTTTAATACTGGAGTGCCCCCTAGTGTCTCAGGAAAAAAAATTTTAAACACTCAATAAGAACAACGTAACCTACAGTTAAAGAAGAAATTACGCATAACAACAAATTACTGCCATTAAGAAGAATCAGAACAGATCATCACCTACAAGGAAGGACAATGTATTAATAGCTATCTCAGAAGATCCTGAATACAAAGAAATTATGGAAATTCAGATTATTGGATGGCAAAAACAAAAAAGGGAATTGAAGGAGGCCAGGCTCTGTGGCTCATGCCTGTAATCCTAGCACTCTGGGAGGCTGAGGCAGGTGAACTGCTTGAGCTCAGCAGTTCAAGACCAGCCTGAGCCAGAGACAGACTCGTCTCTAAAAACAGCCAGGTATTGTGATGGGTGCCTGTAGTCCCAGCTACTCAGGAGGCTGAGGCAAGAGGATCACTTGAGCCCAAGAGTTTGAGGTTGCTGTAAGCTATGATGCCATAGCACTCTACCAAGGGTGACAGAGTGAGACTCTGTCTCAAAAAATTAAAAAATAGAATTGAAGGAAAAGTGGAAAACCAGCAAAACAAAATTCAAAAATTGACCCAGGAGTTAACAAAAGACAGGACAAAGTCTTCAAGGATTTAGATACCATTAGAAATGATATAAAAGAGCTAAAAGAATTGAAGGAGTTGGCCAGGTGCTGTGGCTCTCTGGGATGGTGAGGCAGATGGATTGCTTGAGATCATGAGTTCAAGACCAGACTAAGCAAGAGCAAGACCCATCTCTGAAAAAAGAAAATAGCCAGGCGTTGTGGTTGGTGCCTGTAGTCCAAGCTACGTGAGAGGCTGAGGCAAGAGAATCATTTTGAGCTCAAGAGTTTGAGGTTGCTGAGAGCTATATCACCTTGGCAATCTACCTAGAGAGACAAAATGAGACTCCATCTATAAAAACAAACAAAAAACTGAAGGAGTCATTCAGAGAATTTTAAAATGTAGCAGTAGATTAAACTATGAAAAAGAAAGAATCTCAAGCTTGAAGACAAGGTTCTTGGGTTAACCCAGTCATTTAAAGAGGCAGAAAAGAAGAGAGTAAAAGCAAAGCAATCCCTTACAGAATTATGGGACTAAACAAAGCATACCAACACACAAATTATAGGTATCTCCAAAGGGGAAGAAGAAAGTCCCAAGCCAGAGGAGAGTGGACTCCTCCCATCTTCAATCTCAAACAAAACAATTGCAAACCTAGAATTCTGTACC